TGAAGTGTCCGTTAATGTCCTGTGCCCATTTTTTAATTGGGTTACTTGTCTTTTTCTTGTAGAGGTGTTGTAGTTTCCTATAGATTTTAGAAATGAGTCCCTTGTCTGATATGTCATTGCAAAAGATTTTTTTCCCATTCTGTGGGCTCCCTTTTTACTCTTTTCTTGAAATCCTTTAATGCATATAAGTTTCTAATTTTTAAAATGTCCCAATCATCTGTTTTATCTTCTTTTGTTTGTGTAATTTTCACAATGTTTCCTAAACTGTGTTTCCCTAGATTAGACCCCTTAAATTTGTCCCTATTTTCATTGATGACCTTTATAATTATAGGATTCACATTTAGGCCTTTAATCCAATACAATACTGTTTTATGACCTGCATTTCCCCTACATATATTACCATGTCATTAAATATTATTTTTCAGTACTACTATTTTTGTGGTTTTATCATCATTTATCTAATCCCTACCTGTTGGAAAATTATTATTATTTTTTCTACTATTGTTAGCAATACTGAAATGAATATATCTTTGAAAACATTCATGGTAATTTCTTTAGGGTTAATTTCTATGTAAAATCAATGACTCAAAGGATATATAAAACTGTAAGAACATACAAATATACTCATTTACACTTCTACCAGCAGTCATTCAAAACATAAGAACAACAAATATACTCATTTACACTTCTACCAGCAGTCATTTCTCTCTGTCCTCACAATGTTTAGTACAATAATGAAATTATTCATGTTACTATTTTAAATGTGTTAAATTTATGATTTAAAATGGTATCATAATTTAAAAATTTGTGCTTCTTTGATTTCTACTGAAGAAAATATGGTTAGCATATTTATTAACTAGAAGTTTTTATTTTGTAACTTGCCACATCATATCCTTTACCTTTTTTCCCCTTCATTAGAATACTAACCTTTCTCTTACTGATTTGCAAGCAATTATTATATGCCAATATCCTCTACTTTGTGAAATGTTCCCTCTGTGACAATCACTAGTTCTATAATTAGATTTATTGCTCACTTTCTTCCATCCTCTTCCTCTATTTTCCCATAAATTAAGGCCATCGCTAGCCTGTACACTTCTCACACTGTAAACTCTCAGATGCTCTTCTCTAAACCCATGATAGCCTTGAAAATATTTTAGTATTTTCTTCCTGTACAATGAGAAATTCGTGAATCCATTTTCTTCCTGTCAAAGCAATGGTCAGTTTACTATTAGGGCATGATGCCCAATTACTAACAAGGCTACGTGAAGATAAAGATTGCAGAAATAAGCTAGTGAATCTAGCATTGAATAAGATTTGTGCTTTTGGCCCTGTCATCTCTCAAGGGTTATTAGTTCTTTGCTTCAAAATTGCCAACCCATATCAACAATTTGCTACTGTACACCTGCAATTTAGGGTAAAAGAAAAAAAATAATAAGCTAACCATCTCCATGCAAAGCTCTGAAAAATTGCAAACAAATTGCAGTGATATTGAAAAATTTAATGTCTATGCCAATATCAATTTAAATTTTACTTTGGACTCTTAGAAGGTAATTAAGACACATGAGCAGTAATTTGAAGTTTACCTTAGTGAAAAGTTTTGGAGTTGGTTACAGCTATCAATAGCATATAACAGTATATCAATAGAATAGGATCAATGGAATATGAAAACTAACCCAACAATTTGTTTAATCCTTTTATACCGTGCCTTAAAGTTGTTAGTATTTGGGTTATTTTCAGCCAAAGAACATTACTAAAAATGTTTTTAATGTCTGTTATTTTAAGATTGCAGAATGGCTTTCAGATGGTGAGAGACCTGCTGTCTGTCTAAAACTGGATGAGAGCCACAGACCAGTGAAACTTCAGAAAGTGGTCCTTGGATTTCCCTGCAATAGTAACCAAACTGAATTTAAGTTTGACTTAACCCTCAATTACAAAATTGCTAGTGTTATACAAACATACTCTGATCAGAAACCTACACTAGTGGTATGAATTATTTATTACTTATGTTTTTTTTAGTATAATGTTTAGTTTTTAAGATGATTAATACAAAGTTATTAATTCCTTTTCAGTTTTGTGCAACAAGGAAAGGTGTACAACAGGCCGCTTCTGTTCTTGTGAAAGATGCTAAATTTACTATGACTGTGGAACAGAAACAGAGGTATATTTTTTCATCTTTTTTGGAAGTAGAAGGACTTTTTTAGGGATTTTTAGCAATTATCTAGATATTGTTGTTGTTGTTAAGTGCCGTGGAGTCAGTTCCAACTCACAATGAGTAACTGATGGGTTTGAACCATTGACCTGGTGGTTTGTAATCCAGTGCTAATCCTACAGCAACATACCAAGAGTCCTTATTTAGATGAGATAACTCAATTAATACCTTAACCTTGGCCAAGTTATTTGATCTCTCTAAGCCTCAGTTTCCTCATCTATAAAATAAAATACTAGTAAATTTGAAGATTAAGCGGGATAATGAATTTCAATGCAGCTGTGATCCCATCTTTATTTTATAACCAGCTTTCTTGAAAGATGATCTATGTTGTTGTCTTCCTTTCTTCCCTAACTTTTAATCCAACATCCATTGTCATCTTTCACTAAAACTGCTTTGTTAAATCAATACCTTAGGAACCAGTAACATATTTGACTACTTACACTTTCTTTAAAAACTCTAGATATTATGCTTGTATTATCTTGTACTGATTTTATTTCCATTCTCAGTCCCCTTTTCACTTCTACAGGGTCTCTATGAGTCAGAACCAACTCCACAGCACTTGACAATAACAACAACCTAACTCTAAATGTTGACATCCTCAAGGTCCCATCCTAGGTTCATTCTTTCATAAATAACACACATATATAGCTTACAAATTAGGAACTTGTGAATGTGAAAGTTAGAAATTCCCTGATTTTTAAAGGTAGTTTTCAGATAATAAAATTTTCAAGCCTTAGGTTATTTGTGAGCTTCAAAACACTTAGTTAATTATTTTAAAAGTTTCTAATACATCAGGAATAGCTCAATAATTTTATCATATTTTAAAACAGGCTACAGAAGTATGCAGCTTCCCTAAGAGATTCAAAACTTAGAGGTAGGTCTATAGGTAACTTTTGATTAACATTTCAAGTATAGATAAAATGAATCAGTTATTGATGAAATATTATCAATAAATAGGAGATTATATGTTTTTGTCACAGATATCTTAATAGATGGTGTTGCTTATCATCATGCTGGTATGGAGCTGTCAGATAGAAAAGTAGTTGAAAGAGCTTTTACTGTTGGAGATCTACCAGTTCTTTGTAAGTAAAACGTCTTGTTGTGGGTATTATAAGATATTTTGGAAAATTTTAAAGAGAAAAATCACTAACAGTCTAAGTATTTTCTACTTTTCTTCCAAGAAACTGAAGTTATATAACTTCCCATGCTCTTATACATGCAATATTAAATTCTTTAGCAATGTTTATTTCTTTGTCATATTAACTGAATATAATGCAAATTAAAAGTAAGCATTTTTTTTGGTTTTAAGATGTAATATTATTTTAGATTCTAAAGCTCTTTTTATCTTCCTTCTTTTCTAAATTTCTTACAAATGATAATTACTTTTATAATATCTGGAGGTGGGTGGTCTTAAAAAAAATATTCTTGAAACAATAAACTTATAAGGTTTGAAATGAATATTCCTTAATCTAATGCAGTTACTACCAGTACTTTATCTATGGGAGTAAATCTTCCTGCTCATCTAGTAGTTATAAAATCTACAATGCATTATGCTGGAGGAATGTTTGAAGAATACAGTGAAACAGATATTCTACAGATGATTGGTAGAGCTGGTCGACCACAAGTAAGTGACAAGAACTTTGCTTTCTGTAACTCATTTTAAATGTATGGTAAAAGCAGACAAAAACCTTTCAATGTAATTTTTGTTGAACAGAAGGTTAGCATTTTATGCTAGATTCGATTGAAAAGATTCTAATTGAAAGGAAGTAAAACAAGTTTCACTAATCAGTAATAACATTTTCTGTTCCCTCCAAACTCCCATTAGTTGATGAAAGGATGGGCTAATGAATGGGTATGGGCACACGGTTAAAAGATTGTCTTGTTTTTGAGTTTGGCTTTGTTTGTTTTTTAGTGTGAATGGGTTGTTATGACCATTTTGAGTGGACCACTTTTTTGTTGTGCACTGTAGAACATCTATCATGGCTGGGTCTTGGCACTAAATACCCCCAAGCATTTTTGTTAGAATAAAAGTCAGTTCATGCACATTTTAAAATGTCCCCTACTCTGACAAATACTTGAATAATAGTGTTATTTTGATAGGTAGCAAGGGAAGATTTAGGAAGAATATCTTTCAAAGAGTCAAATATTAGGCATATTTATAATTTTTATATGATAAACTAGATTATTTATAAATTACACAATTTCTTGCAAATTCTATCCAATTGCTTAAGTTTGTATTGATTTTATCACTACCAAAGTCATGTTAAACTAGAACCAAGAGTGATATTTACAGCTATACTCTTAGAAGATTAAAAAATTATTATATAACATATCAAAATCAGTAGCTTTTTTTTAAAAGGCTTTTTACCTGTTCAAATTAAGGGAACTGTTTACTATGAAGTGAAATTCTGAGTTATTGAAGAGAACTGCTACCAACATGTGGTCTTCTTTATTAAACTTTCTGTTTTTTTTTTTCAGTTTGATAGTACAGCTACTGCAGTTATTATGACTCGGTTAAGTACAAGAGAGAAATACATTCAGATATTAGCTTGTACTGACACTGTAGAAAGCAGGTAATGCAGATAAATATTCCAAAAAGATCATAGTATTAATAGTCTGTTTTTGTTTGTTTTTTCATTTAATATTATTAAAAGAAAATATGATTAGAGGGTTTTCTAAGAATTTTTTCCTGAAACTTTCCAACAGCTCTAAGTAAAATATTTATATCCTTTTAAGGATATGTTGTTGTTATTGTTAGGTGCTATCGGGTCGGTGACCTTATGCATATAGTGACCTCATGCACAGCAGAACAAAACACTGCCTGATCCTGGGTCAACCTCACTATTGTTGCCACGCTTGAGTCCATCGATGCTGCCACTTGGCGAATCCATCTCGTTGGGGATCTTCCTCTTTTCCTCTGACCCTCCACCTTACCAAACATGATATTCTTCGCCAGCGACTGGTCCTCCTGACAATATGTCCAAAGTATGAGAGACAAGGTTTGGCCATCTTGGCCCCTAAGGAGCACTCTGGCTGCACTTCTTCCAACACGGATCTGTGGGTTATTTTGGCAGCCCATGGCACTTTCAACATTCTCCTCCAACACCATAACACAAAAGCATCAATTCTTCTACGGTCTTCCTTATTCACTGTCCAGCTTTTGCATGCATATGAGGTTATTGAAAATACCATGGCTTGGGTCAGGCGCACCTTAGTCGTCAAGCTGACATCAACACTTTAAAAAGGTCTTGTGCAGCAGATTTACTTAATGCAATACATTGTTTGATCTCTTGACTGCTGCTTCCCTGAGTGTTGATAGTTGATCCAAGAAGAATGAAGTCCTTGACAACTTCAACCTTTTCTCCATTGATAAGAATGTTGTTTATTGGTCCAGTGGTGAGGATTTTTGTTTTCTTTACATTGAGATGTAATCCATACCGAAGTCTCTGCTCTTTTATCTTCATCAGTAAATGTTTTAAGTCCTCTTCACTTTCAGCAAGCAAGGTCGTATCATCTGCATATCACAGGTTGTTAATGAGTCTTCCTGCAATCCGGATGCCACGTTTTCCTTCATATAACCTAGCTTCTCTGATGATTTGTTCAGCATACAGATTGAATAAGTATGGTGAAAGAACACAACCTTGTCGCACACCTTTCTTAATTTTAAAACATCTAGTGTGCCCATGTTCTGTTCGAACAATGGCCTCTTAGTCCAGGTACAGATTCTTCATGAGCACAATGAAGTGTTCCGGAATACTCATACTTCACAATGTTGTCCATAGCTTGTCATGATCCACACAATCGAAAGCTTTGCATAGTCAGTAAATCACAGGTAAACATCTTTCCGATATTCTCTGCTTTCAGCCAAGATCCATTGGGCATCAGCAATGATATCCCTCATTCCTCGGCCTCTTTTGAATCCGGCTTGAACCTCTGGAAGTTCTCTGTCAATGTATGATTGTAGCCATTTCTGTATTACCTTCAGCAAAACTTTACTCACATGAGATATCAAAGAGATTGTCCGATGATTTCCGCATTCCGTTGGGTCACCTCTCTTTGGAATGGGCACAAATATGGATCTCTTCCAGACAGTCGCCAGATAGTTGTCTTCCAAATTTCTTGGCAGAGATGAGTGAGTGCCTCCTGTGCCACCTCACTTTCTTGAAAGATTTCAATTTTTATTCCATCAGTTCCTGGTGACTTGTTCTTTGCCAATTCCTTCAATGCACCTTGGACTTCCTCCCTAAGTATCAGTATACCTGAAGGATATACTGAACCCTGATTTGACGTGGCAGGATAAGCAGTGGTCTGCTAACTGCAGGTCGGCATTTCAAATTCATTATCTGCTCTTGGAAACCCTGTACTGGGTCACTGAGTTGGAACCAACTTGACAGCACACAACAACAGTAACAACAACAAGGATGTCTTAGTTATCTATAGCTGCTAATAATCGACACACAACACACAGATGACCTTAATAAAAAAAAGAAATTTATTTTCTCACAGTTTAGGAGGCTATAAGTCTGAATTCACAATGCTGACTCTAGGGTAAGTTAGTTAAGAAGTAAAATGCTTGTTTGTTCTGAGTTTCTGCTACTAGGCTGTCATCATGTGGCTTGATGTGTCTCTTCCTAGTCTTAGCTTCTTTCCATTGCTTGTTTAATCTTTTTATATCTTAAAAAGAGAATGATTCAAAGCACACCTAACATTAATTCTGTCTCATTAACATATCAAAGACAACCCATTCCTAAATAGGATTTAACTACAGACATTAAGCTTAAAAAAATTGTTGTGGATTGAGAAAAGGTTTGCAGAGCTGATCAGGTTTTCACTCAACAATTCATATACATTTTGGTTCATTTAATTGGTTTCAGTCCCCACAGTAATATCACTTATCCAACTTCTTCCCTGTGTTTTCTGTTTGCACTTCTTCTTTACTAATCCTTCTTAACATTGTATTCATCCGTTTGCTCTCAAATGGTGATTATTCTAAGGTGCGTGTACCTCATTAGTTATATTGTTCCCCATTATAGACCTGTGTATTGTTTGGCTGAAAATTGAGCCTGGGAATGAGTTTATTTTCAGACCTGAAGGATATCTAATAGCCAGAGTCTCAGGGATTCCACCAGTAGACATTGTTTTTATTGTTTGGTGCCATCCAGTCAGTTCTGACTCATAGTAACGCTGCGTACAACAGAATAACTGCCCGGTCCTGTGCCACCCTCACAATCATTGCTATATTTGAGCCCATTATTGCAGCCACTGTGTCAGCCCATCTCAATGCAGGTCTTCCTCTTTTTCACTGACCCTCTGCTCTACTAAGCATGATGTTCTTCTCCAGGGACCAGTCCTCCTGATGATATGTTCAAAGTATGTGAAACAAAGTCTTGCCATCCTCAGGAGCATTCTGGCTGGAATTCTTCCAAGATAGATGTATTAATTCTTCTGGCAGTCTATTGTATATTTAATATTCTTTGTCAACTATATTTCAAAAGCATCAATTCTTCTTTGGTCTTCCTTTTTCACTGTCTAGCTTTCACATACATGTGAGGTAACTGAAAGTACCATGACTTGGGTCAGATGTACCTTAGTCCTCAAACTTTGAAACCTTTACTTTTGAACACTTTAAAGAAATCTTTCACAGCATATTTGTCTAATTCAATACATCATTTAATTTCTTGACTGCTGCCTCCATGGGTGTTGATTGTGGATTCCAATACGATGACAACTTCAATCTTTTCTCCATTTTTCATGATATTTATTGGTCCAGTTGTGAGGATTGTTACTTCTTTACACTGATGTGTAATCCATATTGAAATTTGTATTTTTTTCAGTCTTCCTCAGTGTTTTAAGTCCTCTTGGCTCTCAGCAAGCAATGTTGTGTCATCTGCATATCACAGGTCATTAATAAGTCTTCCTTTTATCCTGATGGCAAATTCTTTTTCAGATAGTACAGCTTCTTGGATTATTTGCTCAGCATACCGATTGGAAAAATCTAGTGAAGGAATATAACCCTAACACAGACCTTTTCTGATTTTAAACTATTCAGTATACCCTTGTTATGTTTATAAGACTGCCTCTTGATGTATATACAGGTTCTACGTGAGCACAACTAAGTGTTTTAGAATTTACATTCTTCGCAATGTTATTCGTAACTTGTTATGATCCACACAGTCAAATGCCTTTATATAGTCAATAAAACACAGACAGACATCTTTGTGGAAGTCTCTGCTTTCAGCCAAGATGACAGACGTTGTTGTTGTTAAGTGCCATCAAGTCAGTTCCAACTCATAGAAACCTTGTAATGGGTTTTTGAGGAATAGATGGTAGGTTTGAGCTGCTTATGCTGTTGGTAGCAATCCAGTGTTTACCCTAAATGGCACACAAGGACTCCCTCTATGATAGGCATAGAGGTTAGAATTTATAACACATATATTTGGGGGACACAATTCAGTCCATAACAAAGGAATTTTGTAGTTATAAAAAGTAAAGACAACAGATTAGTTTATTTAACATTGTTTCTTACCATGCTGTAGCACAGTTCCTCGTTATGTAAGAGAAATAAAATAATTTTTACATCTCTTCCCATATTTAAAATTTGCTTAATAGAGAAATAGGCAGTTTTGGAAATTTTAGTAATTATTTGATTAAGATACTCTTATAATCCTTGTGTGGTTCTGTAGGACAAGCACTAGACCGCAAGGTTGGTTTGAACTACAAGATCAGAGGTTCAAACTCAACCAGTTGCTCCTCAGAAACCCTATATAGGGTCACTATGAGTTGGAACCAACTCGACTGCACTTAACAACAACAACATGATGTGACTTACAGCGCCATAAAGTAGAGAAGAATCTCAAATCTTTCTAAAAGTTAAACTCACATTTTAAGATTTCTTTTTATAGTTTTGTATATTAAGTTGTATTTTATAAATTATTAAAATAGTAATCATAAACTACATAAAATATAAACTACTGAAGTTAAAAATTAGGAGTTTATGGCATTGAAATGCATGTTACTAATGCAGAGTTTCTTTGTTTTTCCTATTAGTTTGCATAGACATCTTATTGAACATTTAAATGCAGAGATAGTACTGCATACCATCACAGATGTGAACATTGCTTTGGAGTGGATACGATCAACCTTGCTTTATATCAGAGCCTTGAAAAATCCATCTCATTATGGTTTGTTGCTTTGACTTGAAAAAGTTGTCATTTTTTAAGCCAGTTGAGTCTGTATTTATACTAGCATGTTACAGAAAAGATTGCAGGAACTAATGGGTAACAGAAAATGAACCTAATAACAGTCACAAATACATTTACAAGTAAGAACAGACAAAAGTGAGAAATCTTTATGTGCTTTATGTTTAGTCTTTCAATGAGATTTGAAATCTGTATCATTAAATAGCATATAGTACAGATCTTTCAGAAAAAAAATTCAACTCTAATACAAGCAGTAAAAATACCTAAGATTATTTAAAGTAAAGTTTAAAAAGTCTTAAATTTTGTCTGTACTTTGTGTTCAACAAGTTTCTTTTTCTGTATTGGCTACTGTTAATTTTTTAATTTATAAGAAATCCACACATATTATTATGGTTGCTGCTGGAATTTTCATTGTGCTTTTAAAGCTAACACACATCTGATTATGTTGTTTATTGAAGGTTCAATTATGCGGTTGTTGTTGTTTTGGTAAGTACTGTTGAGTTAGTTCTGACCCATAGTGACTGACATATATGAGCCCAGGGTTTCCAAGGAGCAACCGGTGAGCTTGAACCGCTGAGCTGCTGACCTTGCGGTTCAAACAGACTTTGAAGTCCAGCACATTAACCCACAGCACCACACCAGGACGCCTCAATTATGTGGTATAGACTATAAAATAAAAATACTTAGGATTTTTATCGCATTGGCATAACATTATAATGTACACAGTTTAAACATTTTCATATTTCTGAGGGTAATATAAAGGTATGGATTGCATCTCAATGTAAAGAAAACAAAAATCCTCACACTGGACCAATAAACAACACTCTTAGAAAAGATTGAAGTTTTCAAGGACTTC